AGAAAAACCTTGGGTTCACAAATAGAATTCACATTCTACATACTTCATTCTCCAACCCTACATAGAAGTCTGATATTGTTAACGATTAATAGGTCTATATGTGCAAAAATAGAACTTTAAGAAAAATATGGGGTACTTTATTCTCCAACCCTACATAGAAGTCTGATATCGTTAACGTGTAATAGGTCTATATATGACGGTTAGGTTGGGTTAATTTGTAAGAACCTAAATAGTTCTTATTGTCCTGTATTGTGAATTTGTTCTATTATGAAGCCTTTTTCAAGATCTTGAAATTTACTATAGAGGAAGTGCAACTGTATATTATATACTATAAATATATAAAGTGACAAAAATGTAGTAAAAGCTAATGTATGATCAAAATTCTAATTAAGGAAAAAATTTTATCAAATATTTTATAAATTTTTAAGTCAATTTTAGTTCAAGATAAGAAAAAAATTTGCGAAAATTGAAAAATGTAGATTAGTATATAAACCAAAAAAAAAAATATTTTTATAAATATCGAAAAAGTATCTTTCTCTACATTTATTAAACAACATTTTCAACGAACAAACCGGGAATGCAAAACGAGTTATTCTAATTCCACATAATCAATTTGTGACTAATATTTATAACAAAAATAAAAAGTGGAAAGAAAACAAAAAAAAAACGAAAAAAGCACGTAAGATATCTTGTATTCAAAGCAACATATAAACGAAAACATTTGTTTTCAAAAAACATACATATTTCGCAATCAGCTCCAAAATTATTTCTTGACACTCATACGGGCGGTGCACTTTTTTTTCGAAAATAACCATAGAGGCGCTAAAGAAAAAAATAATAATAAATTGATCTCATTGAATCAATAAAGTCATTGAAAGAAGAAAAAAAAGGAGAGAAATAAGAGAGAGAGAGAGAAAACCTGATTTTAGAAGAGTCGACTAATGAAACGTCACAATCTTAAGAGTAAGAGGTTCAGATATTTCTTCTAACTTATTTATAAATTTTTTTTTATTTCTTTACGTCATAATGTCTGGCATTAAAAGTCAAAACTACGAATATATACACACCAATACTAATTTATATACATCTGTATATTTATCATAATAATATTTATAATTTGCTCTAAACAAAGTCAATGACCTTTCGATATCAAAATAAACGATACATTGCCTATTAAACCTGCTCTTTGATAATATTTAATATAAACACTACCCACTTAGTTGTAAAATGTTACAATCTTGACCTTTGCCAAAGCGAATAGATAATTTTTCGTCTCCAACTGTAAATAATAGTGTTAATTTACAAATATTTTAATAACATATATTGTAACTGATACTCGTATGTGATTAAATTTTAATTATAAATTCATTTATTATAAATTTATTAGCAAACTTATTATTAACTATTTTTCTAATAAACTCTTATTATATGTCAAAACAAATTAAACTTATATTAGCTAAGGTACGCTTGATACAAAAGGTAACGACTCACAAAAGGAAGAGCATTAGGTATTGGTACGTGAGATATCACTTTTAACGTACAACATGAAAACAAAAGATTATTAATCATATATTAATGAAAATCTTTCGGTTAGTTTATATTTATAAACTTTCTGAAAATACTCTTTTCTATTTCTTGCCTTTAAACACAGATCCACATTCTCCTTCCTTTATCTAAAAATGTCAGTTTTTATCAGTTATTTGTAAACTTGTTAGACTTGTACTGAAATCGTATATAGACATTAATATATAGACTATATCTATACAATATAGATATAGAAGATTAATATAGACTTCGTCGTTATTGTTCGTATTACATTTTGGTTTAGTCCAGACCATTTTAACAAATGTTTCTCATATCTTGAAAAAACCTTTTTGCTTTGCGATCTATCTAACAAAACTGATATGAAATTGATGAAAACTGGAAATAAAATTAGGACCTATACATACGACTTAGAAACAACCGACGACTAAAACGTATGCTGTGCAAAAGCTGAGCTAAAGAATCATCCTAAAGTCAAGCAGCAAGCACATATGAGCAGTTTTCTTTAATAATCGTGATGTGGTGCATTGTTAATTACTTACTTGAGCGTTATTCAATGTTTATGTAAAATAAAATAGAATTATGAATAGAATCTACCCAAGAATTATGGGTAGACAATTCTTGGTTTTTACATCACGATAATTCCCCACCTTAACTGCTTTGGTTATTCGAGATCATTTCGCCGAAATGGTCTAACTCTATAACATTGCTCCTGACTTATCACCATTTGACTACTAGTTATTCCTTCAGCTCAAGAGACTTCTCTCTGAACTCCGTTTCAATACTGCTTATATGGATTTGTTTTCATTTTTTTTAATTTATTTGAATTAAAGAATAAATAAATGTTTTTAATAATAAAAAAATATTTATATTAATATAAATTTTATTCACTTCAGTGTTCAGTGTCGTCTTAATATGTCTACTTTGTTTTGGCCTTTTATTTGCTATAATAATCGATCACTGAGTCCTCACTTTGTTCAATAATAATTTTTATTCTATAAGACTTTGTATCTTATCATAGTTGCAACACCTAAAAGTGCTATCTCTAAGAACTCCAGTTTAAAGTCAAAAGCTGTGTATCATTAGTCCTTTAAGAATCGAGATATCGCTCCATATATTCTAACTAATAAGATATTTCAAATGTGTACATCTTACCAGTTTAGATATTTCCATAATAACAGAACCTATGCATATTTCCACAAGAACACAAGGCACACAAGGACCAATTGGTTAGAAAAGAGCTGGGGACGGTATTTAAAAAAAGTCGTTTTGGATGACGGTCTAGAGAAATACTCAATGTTTTAGAAAATATTAAATGAACGAAACTAAAAAAGGTGGAGTCTTCAAAAAAAAATTATAGGAAGTATGTTATATACATATATGTGCATCACCTATAAAACTCTCAGTTGTGTGTTTTATTAAAGTTTTACCTATGTATATATATATACCTTATATCAACAGTAATATTGATGACATGAAAATAGGAAGGACTTTAAGGAAGTTATATATAAGAAATAGATATTGGGTGTATAGATTAGATGTACTCTTAAGTATCTTGTTGAAATATGGATCATTTTACCTATTTATTTCAATAATAATATGGATTATTGACATTCTAATCTTTATACAAACATATTATATATGTTTTCTGAATTATTTTTTTGTTTATAAACAAAACTAGAATAAACTGATAACTAGAATTTTCGCTAATAAGTTCCAATCGACGCTTGAATTAGATCGCTTAACGTTTTGGTTTCTATAATTCTGTAGTATTTTAGTTAATAAAAGACAAATCTCCTTGATATAAGACTTACGCTTTTGTTCAGAATTACAATTTGAACGATAGCAGCAGGGATGTCAATACATCAAAAAGAGACTAACAAGAGACTTACTGTATGTTCAACACTCTTTAGAAAACATACACTCTATTAGTAATACATAAAATACGATAATAGTATTCACGATTTCAATTTACGACCTCGATAAACAGATAACTTAGTAACATGACAAAGTGGTACAATAAGGAGTAATATTGTGCCATGCTAGAGTATGCCAAAAAAGAAATCTCTTGCTAAAGTCTCTTACTGATAAATTGATACCTCTATCGCACTCCGTTAAATTTTATATTTTTATATTGAAGGTTCTACGTATTTTTCGAAATACAAGATAAAAACAAAATTTTGAATAAATTAATAATTACTTTCTTTGAAAAATAAAATGAAATAATTTCTGTACATTTTAAAATTCTTCCTTATTGTACTTTCTTCTACCCGCATTTGTACTTTCTTTCAAACAAGCACTTTGATCAAAATTTGCCCCGGACATTTCTTCAATGCCTATAAATCTGCAGTTTCGAAAACGAGTTCCTTTTAACGAGTTCCTTTTATAAAGAAGTTTTTTATAAAGTTCCTTCCCAAACGAGTTCCTTTTATAAAGAATATACAAAACTTTTGCTGAGTTTTGATAATTTCTGTGAAATAGTATTCTTCATCGTCATCATCAAATCAGTATTAATATCATTATATATTACAGCATCAACTTCAACTGATTCTATATCAGCCAATCTCTTAATTTGCAATGCCAAGTATTGGAATTGAACACTTAATTATTTTAAGTAATAATAAGCTGTTAACTTCATATAAAGATGATTGTTTTCAATATCAGAGCTTTGTGCATAATTTGATTTTCATCCAACATTTCCGGATCACTTCAGTTCTAATTTTATTGGGAAGTCATGTTACTTTCACTACATTTTGTAACTTACGTAGCTTAACTTGATTTTCGACTTGATAGGAGTTTACTTCTTTACATCACCGAATCATTACTTTATAGAATACCATGTGTTCAAATCTTTCGTAATTTTTTT